CTTGGGCGTTCGGGTAAAATTTCCGAAAATTTTAAAAGCCCTACAAATCGATTTGTAGGGCTTCTAAACATGAAATTGGTTGCAAAATCGAGTTACCCATTGCATATAACACATGTAGGTGTTGAAATTACCTGAAAAAATCGAAGCCCAAGCAATGAAATTGGTTGATTTCGGTATTTTTTGAAAAAAAAAAAAAAATTCTGAAAATTTTGGAATGGGGTGGTTTTGGAGAGAGTTTAGAATTTTAGGGGTTTTAGAGAGATAAACAGTTTTTTACTTTGAACGGTAAATAGCAGTTGTTAAACCGTAAAGAACATTTTCTTTAAAAAAAGTATAAAATAAAAATACAAAATTATATGGGCTTTCAGAAGTGGGCCCAATAAAAAAAAAGTGCATTTTGGTTACTGATTCCTGAATATTTAAATTACTCCAAGCCCAATATATGGGGATTATCGCATAAACTAATTTGAGCACAATGTACTTTGTTTTTGCTACAACCCCAATTCAAATTATCTATTAATGAAACTATAAATTAATAATTCATGCATTTCAAAGAATTGGTATTTGCAAGAGTTTTAGAGTTTTTAGAAATAGATTATAATTTTTTCTGTACTTATAATCTGGTTTTTGGTGTTTGTGAAATCGATATTGTTTTTTTTTTTCTCTTGAAATAAGTTGTTTTAAGCTGCAATTTGAAAAAGAAAGCGGGTATACTATTTTCTATTTAAGATGATTTTTCAGTGTATTTGCACTAAAACTTTGAAAAATAATCACTTAATGCTTATTTAGCTCACAATCATCAAATTGTACTTTCGATAAGGTGGTTGGAGAAACCGAAACCACAGAAAGATGGGGTTCACGAACAAGCCTTGTATAATAGACTAAATTAAAGGACCACATATGATAAAATGTGGTTGAAGTATACTACGTGATGGGGGGTCAGTTCGACACTTTTGGGCCGAGCTCCCCATACTCAAGACTAGTGGGCTGAAGTCTAGCGAAGAATATAAGATAAATCTAGAATTGAGATGGCCCATATACCCTATTGGCCAAATCCTAATGAACAAGGAGAACCGAGATAAGTCAAAGTATTCGTAAGAAAGAGGGTGCATAGATAGGGAAACTAAAGAGCTCGCACAACTGGAAGATCATTGGTACACTTCACCTCACAAGATGTCGGTTCACAAAAAATTAACTAAGGTAGGTCATGAGCTGAAAAGCGGGCATTATGTCGAGAAGATTCGAGTATATTTTTCCTAAGCAAATAAGGAAACTATATAAATTAATGATTGATCGATCGATGTAAGTTAATGACGTATAGAAATGTACTAGATTATTAAACAACCACATAATTCCATATATAATAAACAAATGAACAAAAACAATACTAGGGTTACTCACACAATTAATAATGCAGCTTATATTTTCTCTTGAACTCTCTCTCTTTTACAATCTCGATCTTGTTCATACTCGTGGACTCTAAATTAAGCGAAAATTCAGATTCTCCGAGAGACAAGCAAGCATGGTTTAAGGAAAGGTAGGTGTCATTTACTTTAAAAAAATGAATACATATAAAAGTAAAAAGTTATATTAATAAAGATAAAAATGAAAAAAAATCCAACATGTGTTGCATCAAATAACTTTCACATAAAAAACACACACACACAACACAACAAGTAGGTGTAAGTATTGTCAAACTAGTGTGTCATAATTTATAAAGCAAAGGCATGTTTGGATAAAGCAAATTCATCACACCTCCACGCTTGCTTTTGAGTTTGTTTCTTTATGGGAAAAAAGTCAAAAAAGTCAAAAAGACAAAATTAATCACAACCGTCTAAATTCTAATCCAAACACACCACTCATTCAGTTCACATGCATTTCTTTCTTTCTCGTTTTCCTCAAAGTGTTGAAGTTATGACATTAGTCACATTTATTGATACAATGAAATTTAATTGGAATAATAATTTATTAACAAAATAATTGATTTAACATTTTTTTTTAATATTTGTCATTCCATTTGTAATATAAGATGCATTAGTAGAGTAGATATAATATCAAACAAATTGATTGATTGCCACGCAATTAAAGAAATTCAAACCCTCGAACTTTCACCAAACATCACTATGGCTGATGTCACTCGGCTAAACCCCCGTAAGAGGTTATAATTTTATGTTTCTAAACACGAGTCTTAAAGAAAATGTAATACTAATTCTAGAAAACAAAGTTTATGAAAATCCCAAATCATCTTCTAATTATATTTTAATCCAATTTACTCATTCCAACAATATCTTTTAACTATGTGTAGATGTTGTACATAGTAAAATAAACATAATAATACATAAGATATTGTAGATTTATCATATATAATCACACACACATACATATAAATATGTGTAAAATATTTATTAATATATACATGTATACAATTGTATATACATCCCCGACAAATCAAATGTAACATAGAACAAACTAATATTATATGTCGTATTCGTTATTACATAATGTTCGCGAGGTCGGGATAAATAAAAACCAATTCGATTTTTTTAAAAAGGGTTAATATCCCAATACACCATTTTTTTATTTTTCTTGAAAACCAAAAATCAAATTCAAATGATTGATAGTTGTGACCTAGTCAAAGGTCAACGAGCAGCCATTAGAGGTAGTTAGGATTGGAGTAGGTTTATTAAAAGGGTCAACTCCTTTAGAATTGACTGCTGCAGCCCAAGGAAAAGAGTACTAAAGCCCATAAGAATTAATTCATTTTATTTAGTAGCTTTCTCTATGCTATGGTTTTTTTTTTTTTTTTAAAACATTAATAAAAGTATAAAGCAATTTAAAAGGTAATATAGATGGTTAATTGGTAAATCACTTTTTCACTTTTAGTTATGTAACTTTGGATTTTGAAAAAAAAAAGAAAAATAAAAAAATTGAAACTTAACACATTTCTGAAAAATAAATTAAACTTAGGGTCAGTTTGATTAAACTTATTTTAAACGGTCGATAAACTCTTACATCCGTATAACGTGTTTTAAGAGTTAATAAGTTGTTACGCCTTATTTAACTTAAATAAAAAGGTGGGGTTATATGTATTTTTTTAAATACTTGTTATTCGGCAGCATATCTTTAAAAAAATTATGGCAAATTACGGCCACCCCTGAGGTATGATTAAATTACAAAAAAAAAACCTTATGGTTTGGGTAATTACAATCACCCCCCTTTTAAATAATTTTACATAAAATTTATGTAATTCGGTTATTTACCGAACCAAATCGTATATTCAGTTCGATAAACGGTATAAAATGTTGTGTACCGAAATTTTAATTCGATTTTACCGATTTAACATCTCTAAATTTTTCTCTTGATGAGTTTTTTCGTATAACAGGTAACTATAATTATCCAAACAATAGATGAATTTTCATAATTTGATAATCTTATAAGCTCTTAAGGCTATGTTTGGATGCATTTTTGTTTTGTTTTCATTGTTTACCCAAAACAAAATGGGATTTATTACACTTTTCAAATCATTTTCTAAAAACAATTTCAAAAGTTTCTCTCTCCTTCAGACATGATGTGACTGCTACAGTAAAATGATTTGACTGCTACAGTAAAAAATGTCTTCACTAAAAAACAAATAAACATCACTTCATCTTTCAATTTTTTTCTTCAAAAATACATTTTTCTAACACCTTTAAACATGATTTGACTGCTACAGTGTATTTTGTCTCCTTCCAAAATACAAACAAACATTACTTCCATTCCAAATTATTCCCCAAAACATATATCCTCAAAATGAAATCAAAATAAGATCCAAACATTGCCTAAACATCTTATAAACCTTTTTCAACTTTCTATATAAAAAAAGAAAGCGAAATTCGAAAAGTCAAGAAATCAATCAATGGTTGTTCATACGTGACCAAATATTATAAAAACATTAATAATTCGACCCACTAACCTAACCTGCACAACAAATAATAAACTATTTAATAGACTTTTTACCTTTACAATTCCTCCTTTTCTCCACTAAATCATTATTTTAATAATAATTGGGAACTACGTTTGCACCCCCAAAATTAATATGGATGTTCATTTCGCACCCTTTAAATTTTGAACTAAACAAAATCCACCCTGAAATTATACACATATCGCGGAAATGCACCAAACTTCTATTTATTGTAAGAAAATGCACATTATTTAACATTATCATATATTTATAACATGCATTACGTATTTTACTTACTTTATTCTAAATCTTTAATTCTCAATTATTAATTAATTGTCTACTAATAAAATAAATTTTATGTATAACTTCCAATTTAAACATAAAATCATAATTTTAGAAAATTTTGTATAACATTTGCCGTCTACCCAAAATATAGGAGACTTATTGCTAAGCTCTTTTTTGTTTCTCTCTTTATAATAAGAAAAAATTAAAAAAATAAAAATTAATAATAATAATAATAATACTAATAATACTATGAAGTAGAAAAGGAGAAAAGACTACTAATGTGGGTGTATTATGGCATAAGATCTATAATCTGAGGGTAAATTTGCAAAGTCTAAAGTTTCAAGGTGCCCATTAGCAGTTTAAATTTTGTTCGGGGGCAAAATGCAATTTCACCCATAATAATATTAATATTTTATTCAAGCTCATCTTCCACATTCTCTCTATCTTCTTCTCTCTCTCTCTCTCTCTGCGGTTGTTCGAACTAGATTTAAAGTCCGGATGAGAGACCATTTTCAATTCTCTCTTTCTCCTTCCTGTGTGTGTGAGTGTGTGAGAGAGAAAGTGATCTTCACTGTATAAATATTAATTGTCTCGAGTCAGCCCCCCACTTTAATCTTTCCCCCCTTGATCTGCTTCTCCTTTGTCGGAAAAGTTTAGTCTGAATTTCTAGGGTTTGAATTTAGTTTGCTCATCAACTCGCCGCGGACTTTGGGGAATTTTCTCTCTCTAAAGGTATATTAGATAGATCTCTGATCTCATTTTCTCTCTCTAAAGTTGTAGATAGATAAAGGTTGATTTTTTTTTCTCTGTAATTTAATTTTAATTTAAAGTCAATGCTCCATTTCCCACTTGATAATTCTTTCTTCTCTGTGTTTTCACTGTTTGTTTACTGGGTCTAATCTTCTGTGACTATACATTTTCCTGTAATTTAATTAATTTATTTAATTGAGAAATAGGGTTTGGGGGTTTGGGGGTTTTATGTTTGAGTTGAATTTGGAAAAAAAGAAAATTCCTAAATCTTGTGTTTGCAATTATCTGAGCTTGATTTTGTGGTAATTAATGAATTTTAGTTTTTCGTTCTTTCAGATCTCCGAGGAAGATTTCGAAGTTCTGTTCTTCGTTCCGGCCGTTTTAGCAGGTTCGCCTCGTCTTGATTGGGCTAATTACGAGCACTTATTTCGATTTTATGCGATGATTGTTTTTTATACGTTTGTTTTTGTTTTGTATTTTGCATAAACGTGAGCTCCGTATGGTAAGATGCTTTTTGTCGAAATTAACGAGCGGAATTGTCGTAATCCGGTTTTTGCAGCGTTTACCTCTGTTTTGTGTGGTTGTGTAAATCAATAAATCAACGCGTGATTTCGGTATTTGATGGAAATAGTTTTTTTTTTTTTCTGTGTTCGAATATATGTAAAAATTAAGGGATGCTCGAATCTTTATGCACCCGAAGATCTTCGTTAGCTGTTTTATTCTTTAAAGCTAAGTTCACTTTAAGAACCTATAAAATTGGTATCTAAGTAAAAGACATCGATTCTCGACTTTAATTTCTATGTGTTGTTTCTTTTCCTTCACTTCTTTCTATAAATGCCCCTTTCTCCTTTATCATTATATATCTCTAGTTCTTCGATTTTTTAATAAAAAGTCTGATTTTTTTTTTATTGTTTTTATGGATAGTTCAATGTCGTTCCGAAGTATAGCTCGAGATATAAGAGATAGTTTCGGAAGTTTATCAAGGAGGAGTTTTGACGCAAGATTGACTAGTAATCATCATAGGGGGAAATCACACGGCTCGTTTCTTGATTTAAATGACGAGCCTTTAATTATTCAGAATAGCCGATGGGCAAATCTTCCACCGGAGCTACTTTATGATGTAATAAGAAGGCTCGAGGAGAGTGAGAACACGTGGCCCACGCGTAAGCACGTAGTTGCTTGTGCTGCAGTTTGCCGCTCTTGGAGGAGCATGTGCATGGAAATCGTCAAAAATCCGGAATCCTCCGGAAAACTCACTTTTCCCGTTTCCTTAAAGCAGGTATAACTTTATCCCCTTTTTTTTTGTGTATTTCAAGAAAGGTCGAATTTCATGAATGTTGTAAGGGTTTATTGCGTTTGGCACCCTTGTGTTTACTCTAATTAAAAAAAAAAAAAAAAAATCCTCGTGTTATTAATATTAGCAAACTGCCTCCTAAAACCTCACCATTTAAGGGGACGTGTGCTAATAAAAATTGCGTTTCAGGGTTTTTTTTTTTGCTAATATTAATAATACGGGGATTATTTTAGCAATTTGATTAAATACAGTGGGTACTAAATGCAATTTATTACGTTTACGACAAGGCTTATGTGAACCCTTTTCTTATATACAATTTTCAGCCGGGGCATCGTGACGGGACTATACAATGCTTCATCAAGAGAGACAAATCTAATTTAACGTACCATCTTTTTTTGTGTCTTAGTCCCGGTAAGTATTCTTTTTTTCGTTCTATCTACAATTTGATATCCAATCTTCCCTTACATTCTAGTACTTCTTTGTCGAGATCTTATTTTATTGCACGGATAGCTTCTACTAAGGTAGCGTGTGATTTTAGCTTTTTTATGAAGTGCTTATTATGTACGATGCTCGATTTTGCAGCTTTGCTAGTTGAAAACGGGAAGTTCCTTCTCTCTGCAAAAAGAACCCGAAGAACGACTTGTACGGAGTATGTTATCTCTATGGATGCAGACAACATATCTAGATCGAGTAGCACTTACATTGGAAAACTAAGGTAGCACTTATATTTATGAATGGTTAAAATTCACGTCGTATGAATAATATTAAAGTTTCTTGAATAATTCAAAGTTAAAATTTTCACTCCCATTTTTTCGCAGATCAAATTTTCTTGGCACAAAGTTCATAATATACGACACGCAGCCACCCCACACTTCCTGCTCCCACAACCCACCACAAGGGGGCCGCGGCCCCCCGAGCCGTAGGTTCTACTCCAAGAAAGTATCCCCTAAAGTACCTTCGGGAAACTACAGCATAGCCCACATCTCCTACGAGCTCAACGTACTCGGCACGCGGGGTCCACGCAGGATGCACTGCGCAATGCACTCGATCCCCGCCTCCTCCGTGGGCCCCGGCGGCACTGTCCCCGGCCAGCCGGAGCTCCTCCCTAAATCCCTCGAGGACTCCTTCCGGAGTATCGACCACTCCACCGAATTCAACAGCTCCAGATTTTCTACGGGCCCCATCGTTAGTGCTGACGTGGACGACAAGGGGGGCCCACTTGTTCTAAAGAACAAGTCGCCTAGGTGGCACGAGCAGCTACAATGCTGGTGCCTCAATTTTAGGGGGCGGGTGACGGTTGCTTCGGTTAAGAATTTTCAGCTGATTGCTGCTTCTTCTTCGACGAGTAACGGTCCGGCCGCAGGGCCCGCCGCTGCTGCTGCTGGGCGGGCCCCGCAGCAGGCGCCTGCTGTCGGGCCCGCTGGTGCAGGTGGTGGGGCTGGGCGGGCCCCACAGCAGGGGGACCAGGACAAGATTATCCTGCAGTTTGGGAAGGTGGGGAAGGATATGTTCACGATGGATTATCGGTACCCGCTCTCTGCTTTTCAGGCGTTTGCGATTTGCTTGAGCAGCTTTGATACGAAATTGGCTTGCGAGTGAAAAGACGAGATTGCCCTTTGGCATGGTGGTTTGTAAGTTGTAACTTGTCATATGTATATTCTTTTTTTTTTTTTTTTTTTTTTTTTTTTTTTAATTTATCTAATTGTTGTTTAGTTGAGGATAAGGTTATTGTTGTAATTTTTTTTTATTATGTTATTGGTGGTGTAATAGAGAATCTTACTGGTTAAGGAACACTTGGAAATTGTCATATGGAGATTGTGATTGCTTGTTCTTATTATGTACAAATGGATATGATTGGCTGGAGAAAAAAAATGGCAGTTTTTGGAAATTATTTTTGATTGCAAAGATTTTGATTTTTCTTTTTTGTTGGGAAATTTTTGAGATGGAACTGAAATTATTAATTTTGGATGTATAAACTAATTTTTCTAGTTTGAGTTCTTGTAATGAAATTGAAATTTGCTTAGTATGGATTCCTTTGAAATTAATTTTCGAATCCTCTAATTTAATCCATGTTCGTCGATCTCAATCAAATGCGAGGTTGTCTCGATTCACAACAAATAAGTATTTTTTTCCCCGGTTCGACGCACAAGATACATTTCAAAAGTGAAGAAAAAAACCCAATTAATTTAATATATTACAATAACAATTATAATAATAAATGAGTAACAAAGAAAGCAGGAAAAAAAATAAAAAATAATAGAAAACAAATATTACAAAAATTTTATACTATAAAAATTAATAGAAAAAATAAAATAAAATGTTATTAAGGTTGATACTCAAGAAAATATGAAATCTATTCTAAATGAAATTATTTTTAAATTTTAATGTAAATGGCAATTAAATGTTTTAAAAAAAAAAATGCACATTTAAAGAAATGAATAATTGAAAGAGAAGTGGGAACATGCAAAAATGTGGAATGCAGGTGTGACTGCCCATCAATATTTATTATGTAGGCCACTTATTATTGACAAGTGCCAGAAATATATTAGGAACAAATTAAATAGCTGCCCAAGTTACACATTATTTTTCCTGCTATTATTTCATTTAATTAATTTATTTATTACTTTATTTAATTAATTAATTTATTTATGGTTGTGCACATCACTAGTACCAACCTCATGCCTAGTGGACCATTTTTGGCTATCCTAACTCACCATTATTTATTTATTTTTTCTATATATATTATTTGGAATATAATTTCTGCATTTTTTCGATTTCGATCAATACAAAATATTGTTTTCCGATTTCCTTCAAATGGGAAGTGAAATTATATATATGATTTTCTGTTTTTTTTAATCCAATTTTGATTTTAAAAACAATTTCCATAAATTGCTCTTAAAGCAATTTCAATAGTGAACATAAACATTGAGTTATCAAATACTCATTTAATATTTTAAATAATATTTTAATATTTATTTAAAATTCATGTACTCTAATCATAATTATCAAATTAATTATTAAATTTGAAGTTTTTTTTGGTGATGTTATTTGTAATCGTCATACGTCAATTTGTGAATGAATGATTATGTGGTTATTTTTAAATTATCGATACTGATAAAATGTTTTTTCTATATTTTATGTACTTAATTTTTATATTCCCAAATCCCAATCCATTGATTGGTCAGAACACAATACTTTCAATTAATTTGAGAATGTTATTATCATTGCATATAATTGCATCCTGACAAATTTCCTATTTTGCCCCGACAAAATCTTACTCTAGTTTTACTTGAATAATTAAAAGGGTATTCACGCCAATCAACAATTAAATTTATTTGAATAGGTTTATACTGAAATTTCTTTTTACCTAAAATTATATTATGACAAAAATATCCTCAAACATTAAATTTATCCCAATTTTGTCCATTGCCCGACCGTCGATTGTTGACCAGCCATTGACCACCCGTCGTTCAATGCATAACTTTGTATTATGTTTGCAAGGGGACTTTAGCTTATTACCCTCTAACTAAAATTTACATTTTGCACGGTTTATTTCACTACACGTGATGAACTTCTTCACCTTGTAATATTCAACCTACGAATTTTTATCCATATATGTTTTAAAAAAATAATAAATATTTATGATTTTTGATTTTTCTGTGCCAAAATTGGGATGCATATGAGATTCTGATTGTTCGATCCAATATGATTTCAAAAATAATTTGAAAAATTCCAAAAAAAGAAAAAGAAAAAAACACTTATGATGCTAATTTCATTAAGTATTTTATACTATAATGTAGATGAAAAAATGGAATTTTGTATTAACACTAGTTCCAATCCAAAAGAATTCCAATGTGTAATTTCATTCCAAATTTTGACTTTTCTAAATTTTTCTTTATCATAATCGATTTTGTTTCTTCCACTTTTGAAAAAAAGAATGAACTATTATTCTATTCATAAAAAAATTTATTGTGAAAGTGTTAATTAGGATGGATCATGTACTTTTCTCGATTTATCCTATATATGCTACACCAGACAGATTTTTATTATTCATATACACACAAACACACACATCTATATTGTTGTGTGCATACCAATGACAAAAATTCATCGGATGCAGCATAGAAATAACCGACTTTTCTCCTACAAAATATTTTTCCTATTTTATGTGTTGGAATAAAATGAATAATTTATTCACACACATGTTTAAACAAAGTCATGACAGAAACTCGAGTAATTCGCAAGTTTCTTGAAATTAATTGATTATTTATTTAATTAATTATTTAAATATGACAGCCAACAAAAATAAATGAAAACAAAAGTGGCAACACTTGTCTTCTTTTCAGCTTTCCTCTTCTCTCTCTTTTCATTTTTTTTTTCTCTCAGCGTCAAATATTTTTCAATCTAATTTTTTTTTCCGCTTCATATATTCTTGGCGAGGGTTTCAATTTCCAATTTGCTTTTTTTAATTTTTTCATGTAGGCATTCATATAACCCGTAACACATCAAGGTACAATCTTTCTTTTTTTTTCCCCATGATTTTCTCTTACATTTTCTGCAACCCCAATTTGAATTCTGCTATTCGTTTTGTCGTAAGAGCACGTTTTCTTGAAAACCCACGTGGGTTTTTTGCCAAAGATCTGTTCTTTACACAATTCTTGATCTGGGTTTTCACCTGTTGTTGGCAATTTATTTTCTTTTTTTATTTTATTTATTTATTTTATGTTTGTAACTGACTATAACATGTGTTCTTGATTGTGGTTGTCTGAAAATTCCAAGATTTGTGGGTTGTGTCTTTGCTTCAAGAAATCATTTTTAGTTACTGAAAATGTGGTTGTATGAATTGTGAAAAGGGAATTTTAATTGAGATTACATAATTTTGGTATTTGAATTCGAAAAGTCAAATTTTGCATAAATTTTTTTTTTGTTGAATTTTCCCAATGTGATATTGGGATTTTTTCGAGCATTTTCTGAATATTTTCGATTTTTATTGTGTTCTGATTTGGCTGAAATTTTTGCAATTGTTTTAGGGATTTTTTCGAAGATCCGTTACAGGTTTCAAGAATGCCTTCATCGGATAATCACAGTTCCGCCATTCCGTTCGCCTCCTTTCGCCGCTCAATCATGACTATAAGAACCGATCAAATCCACTCCGAATCAAGCCAAGATTCGAACATCCAAAACCTAGATTCTTTCCAAAGACAAATCTTCGCCCGTTTTCACGACCTCTCAATCGTAAATGCCACCGAATTCCTCTCGATTTCTTGGATACACAAACTCCTAGACTCGTTCACTCTCACCCAAGAAGATTTCCGAACCCTACTCTCCGAAAACAAAACCCTCCTCCCCAAACCGCCCTCCGACCGCCTAGTCACCGAATACTTCGACCGAGCAATCAAAGCAATGGACATCTTCAACTCCGCTCGCGACGGAGTTGAAACAATCCGCCTATGGCAGAAGCATCTCGAAATTGTCGTAACAGCCCTCGACTTCACTAAACAAAAAACAATAACCGAAGGGCATTTTCGTCGCGCAAGAAAATCGTTAATGGACTTAGCTCTCCTAATGCTCGACGACAGAGAAACGGGCTCGGTTTTCTCCAACCGAAACCGATCGTTCGGCCGTAACAAGGGCAAAGATCACCAGCGGGCCCCATCTTCGGGCGGACACTCGAGATCACTTTCTTGGAGTGTGTCCAATTCTTGGTCGGCTTCGAAGCAGCTCCAATCTATAGCAAACAATTTGATCCCTCCACGCGCTAACGAAATCGCTTCGACCAATGGGATCGCGACACTTGTCTTCTCCATGAGCTTTATCCTCATGTTCGTCTTGTGGGTTCTCGTCGCTGCAATTCCTTGTCAAGATCGAGGTGTGCAAGTCCATTTCGTGATCCCTAGGCAATCGACGTGGAGTACGCCGTTTTTCTTGATCCAAAGTAGGGTTGTGGAGGAATCGAAGAAGAGGGATCGGAGAAATTCGAGCGGTTTGTTGAAGGAGATTTACGAGATTGAGAAGTGTGTGAACAAGATGAGCGATTTGGTGGATTCAGCGCAGTTTCCGATTTCGGAGGGAGCGAAGGAGGAAGTGAGGGAGAGCGTGAGCGAGTTGTCTTCGGTTTGTGATGTTTGTAAGAGTGGATTGGATCCCTTGGAAAGGAAGTTACGGGAAACCTTCCGGAAGGTTATGCATTGTCGGACGGAGGGTCTTGAGTTTCTTGGAAAGGCTACCGAACCTTGATAATGGAGGAAGAAAATAAATTTGCAAATATTATATAAATTGCATTAGTTTCTTTTTTTTTTACGTCTCGATTTAAGGGTGACTCTCGCCGATGGTGATGAATTTTATCAGGTATATTTTTTAATTAATTTGTTGGGGCTGTCTTTTTCTGTAATGGGAATTTTTTTTTCGATTAATAAGTTTCCGTGACGATGATATCGCAATTTTTTTTGTTTTTCCGAATGTTACTAAAAATCTTTGTATGGACAGTCATTCTATACTTGTTTCTTGATATCTCGAGTGTGTGTCGAGCACGACTATTTTATAAGCAATAAAGAATCGATTTTTAACGTGGTTGGATGCTTCTTTTGCAGGTTTCTTTCGAAGGGTTGTTTTAATGTTGGACCTAAAAAAAGAAAAAGAAAAAAAGAATGAAGGAATGAATCAAAGGTTAGAGAATCCTGTGAGATTATTCCTGGCATAAAGCTGGCAAAGAAAACTACATGTAATTGTGTGCTTCATTCTTGCAACTTGTGTACTTAGCTGTATTTTTGTTTAATTTGTTGAAAAAGAAATTTATTTATTTATTTATTTAAAGAAAATTGGAGTTGAATTTTGTGTGTGTGTGTGTGTGTGAGAGAGAGAGAGAGAGAGAGAGAGAGAGAGAGAGAGAGAGAATAGAACATTATCAAGAAAATGTTTGCTGCACATGACATTCTTTTGTCAATTATTATAGTGTAATTATTATTTTTTTTTTAATATTTGATTGAGTAAAACAATAAGATGGGTTGCTATTAAATTAGACAGCTTAGTTTCCCCCAACACACAAAATAGTGTTAAATTCAACAGAATCTTATATGTTCTGAAATGTTCTATATAGTATGTACTCGTTTTGTGCAAAAATGCAGTTCTTGATGCACCACGATCTAATATTTACAAGTCAAGAGACATATCTATAATCATCTGTTTCAAAATGTGGAGTTTGAATTTGATAAAACGAGTACAGACTGGAGAATATTTCGCTAATCTAGAAGATTCCAGTAAATTAGACGCACATGGGTGGACGTTGAAGGAGATTCATAATAATTGAGGATGGTGATTGTAATTAAAAAAATATAAGGGAGTTTTTCGTAATTTTTCCATACCTCTGGGATGACCGCCCTAAAAATTAATAAGTGCAATATCTAGTGAAATGTATGATAACATTTGTAGCACAAAAAAGAACTAGCAAACTACAATTAGGTGGTGAATTCCACCATCTATTTGTTGGTTCATTTTTATGTTAGTTCATCTAACCAACTTGCAAAACAAATTAATATTGTGAAAGTGAAATCTGCCAAATATTATGAATATGATGCTCAATATAGAGCAATACAACTGTTTACATACTAATGAAAAGAATCAATCACTACAAATAATGAAAAGGGATGTGATGAATGTCGTTTCAGTTTTAATAATACCGTTTCACTTCAAACGTAATTTTGACCATTCTTTAATCTGCATTAGGCAAAACTCAAAACAAAAAAAAATGTAATTTTTTGAGTTAGATTTCTAATGAATACTTCCCACAAATTTTGACAAAAGATTGGATATCGGATGAGAAAGTTATTCATGAAGCAATGAAAACTTCCCACAAATTTGATAATTTGAGTTATCTAAAATTCAAAACGTCATATATAACTTTGTCATCCAACACCGAAATTAGCTGACTCCGGTTTAAATGAGAAAAGCTAACAGAACGAGCTAGAATTTCCAGTTTTTTTTTTTTTTTGCCAATAGTAAAATGCAAACGACATTTAACATTTCAGTAACGAAAAACGACCTCAACACTAATAAATAAATAAATAGAGAGCAAATTCTCCTTTATTCATAAGACATAAGCCAAAAATTTGCTGCTTCAAAGAATACTACTACATTAGAAATTATTGAAAAAATCATCAGCACTGCATAAATAAAAAGAATACCTAGCTATGCTATATAACTAACTAGAAATGTAAAACTATATATCTATCTAACTTCTCTTTTCGGTTACAGGTTTCTTCGACGGCTTCTCCATTTCGTCTTTTCTTTTCTCCCGTTACAAACAAACATAAATAAAATAAAAAAAAATAAAAAAAAATCATCCGAAGTCAAAATATAACAATTTAAAGCCATCCCAAGAATGTCGTCTCGCACAACGAAAAACGAGTTTCTGTTATACCTTTTCTTTATTATCAAAGCCATACCATTCATATTGAACGCACTCTTCGTAATACTTTTTTCGGTCTCCGTTTCTCTGTGACTGGAATTACATTCTCCATTAGCTGCACTTGGAGAAAAATGAAATTATAAAAAAAAAAAAAAAAAGCCAAAAATCGAGCATTTAGTGTTGATCCTAATCAGGTCGAAATTCAGAAAATAAAATTTATTGTTGAGCTGCAGTATATCATCTAAAGCACAAAGTGTTTAAGTAATTAGAGATTGACCCTTCACAGGCAACTTATTCCACGATATTGAAACCCCAATATACATCGTTAAGCATTAACGTAAGCTAACTTATTCGCTGATTAAGGAACTGCAGGAACGAGACCAATCTAAATGAAAAATACACAAGACCGGTTCAGTTACATCAGTAGTACTTCAATCTAGTGGGCTTCAGCGCTAATATACGGGCTTTACGTTTAAAATATTATCGTAAAAAACGTGTAATACAATCTACATTAAATTTATAGTCTGTATGTATCTGTAAATAAGCATTCAACGAGAATGTTCGACAGGTTTCACGTAGCGACCAGTAAATATAAATTACGATCAGCATTAGCAAATTTATTACCTGCGTATATCTCTCTCTGTTGAGTTCGGCCTGCACGTAACGGAGTTTTATTGAGAACCTTCGACATATGATATAATAAACGAAAAATGGAGAAATTCCGGTTAAATTAATAAGCCGAAATATCATAATATATTAATATATTAAAATATTGCTCCTTGGTAACAAAATTACAATAAATATCATTACACAAACAAACAAGTATCTGAAAATCATTTAACAATTTCATTCAAGGTTAAATTCTCAATTTTTAATAGATTAATAATATATATATAAATACCTCTTCCTTCAAAAGGCCAGCATTATCCTCCTCTAGTTGTGCCACTAGTGATTCCAACTCTACTGTATATGCCTTTGAAGAAACAATAAATAAATTAATAAATGGAAGAAATTATTAATACATATATAAGTATATATATACATACACATATAGATACAGACCTGCTTTCGCTCCCTAGACCGAGCAGCGGACTCTCTGTTCTTAATCATGCGTCTCTGCTTTTGCTGGGTGGCCTTGTCGAGCGGCGCCTCCTCTACGGCCGCCCTCCTCTTCCCTTTCCCACTCACCGCCGCCATTCCACTCCCAAATTCCACACCGAAGCCACTCCGCACGCACGCCGCCGATGCAAACTGAGCCGCCGGATTCATCATAACCGTTTCGATTCCAAAAGCGCCGCCCACCGCAGGCGGCGGCGGCGGCGCGGACCTCGTCGCCATCGCCAGAACGCCGACATCCTCCTCGTTCGCCGCCCTAGCCTTCGCGATCAAATCGTCCAGAACCATAGCCGTGTTGTTCGGAGCACCACCGCTCATAAAATCCCTCCAGCCACCAGCCACCACACGATTCGCGTCCCCGCTCCTCATTTCTCCACCGCCGCCGCCGTCAATTGCGGACGATCGCACCCCGACGCCGCCATCTCCACTTCCGCCGCCGCCGAGCGAAGGAATCGGATTCGGTGTACATGTTCCGGTAGTAATAATCGGAGCCGAAACCCTGACTGTGAACAGAGTGGAGAGTTAACGGTGGTGGCGATGGCTGACGTGTCAGATCCGGATTGGGCGGTGACCTGGATGCCATCACCTTCGACGACGCCATCTACAATTTTTTTTACCTGCCTGCCGATTTTCTCGGATTAATTTGAATCGGATTTTTCTTAAATTGAAAATCGAGAAAAAAAATTGAAGTCTGAAATGGCGTATGTAGATATTATAGAGATGACTGATAGATACATACAGTGTACGTAATTACAGAGAGAGAAGATGCAGATAAGTTGGACGTTGTATTGTTAATGCCACTCGCGAGTGTAAATAAAGTTTGTACATACTCGCTCTGCAATTTTAGAAACATTAAAATGTAGGGTAAATTACAACCAACCCTTTGAGGCAGGTCAAATTACGAAAAATTCCCTTTTGTTTGGGTAATTACAATAATTTCTCAATTATAATTTTTCTTACACGTTCACATTTTCGATATCAAATTTAGTGGAATCTTCTAATTTATATGAAATAATCTCAATTTTGTATCCGTTTTATCCCACTCGAGCTCCACATTTTGAAGCAAGATGATCATAAGATGTGTTTTTTGGCTTGTATATATTAGATTGTGGAGTATCATAAACTGCATTTTTGCACAAAACGAGTACAAGCTAGAGAACATTCCACGGAATATAGAAAATTATGTTGAATTTTATACCACAATGGTGGACGTGTAAGAAGATTCATAGTTGAGGGGTAGATGTAATTATCTAGATAAGAGGGGAGTTTTCGTAATTATAAAAAGTCGATAGTAAATTGAGTATAAGGGAGAAAGAAAGAGGCACAACTTTTATACACAACCATAGGGGTACTTTCGTCTCCAATTGTCAAACATCTAGTGCAATGCTCGGTCGACTTTGAAAATTGACGGATTCTTTGACATGGCTTAACGGCGGGGACCGTTTTGTCGCATTTTATAATACAAGGGTATATACGCGACATTAGTAATAGTACAACGGTGCAATTTGTATTTAATCCTATAAATTATTGCACTTATTGTAGATTGAAAAAACAAATACTGTACATATTTTATGGAGGGTGTTTCTAATATTTAGTACTAATAGATAAATATAAGTAACAACATATAATAGGACGTTTCATATAATTGCATTTAGATTTATATATTTAGCTCATAAATTGTCAAATAAAATGATTGTTTATTTGATTGAAATAGGGAAGAAAATCAAGATTATTACATTAATTGGAAGCCAATTTCTAGTGAGGACGAAGAAGTGAGACCACGCACCTGGGTAGCGCGTAGTCATAGGATAGCGGGCTCTTATTGCCGGAAATGGCATTAGGCGCTTAAGAATCGGACTTGCCGTTTTGGGGTTGACTTTGAATTTTTGTAATCATAAAAAATGTGCCGGCCCGAATACGAGGCCGGTTCATGACAAAACGACAAACACTTAAATAAGCAATTAGTTTTGCTATTGCCCATTGGGTTTTTTACTATTTCAAAAGATTATATTGCAGAGTCTGCAACTTTAGTTAGGGGTGAGCAAAATGACCGAGAAATCAAAAAATCGAACTGAAAATTGTGAAAATTGAGCCGATGTGCACCGTCCCGATTTAAAATTGCATTGACGGTAAGAGCAACTCCAACAGTTATACTAAAATTTGTAATTTTTTATCTAATTATTATACACAATGAAGAGTGTTTTAGCACACATTTTTCTCTGACGCAGTAGTCATTTATATTTTAACACATAACTTTAAAACATCAGTTTTGACATCACTACTCATTACAATATTTTTTTTATATACATAATTATTATACTTTATTATTAGATTTTTGTCATTTCACCCTTTTGGTCTTTTAAATTTGAATACTGGAATTTAAAATATACCAAGTGTTGTACGATTTTTCATCAAAAGTTGTAAAATATGCTAAAATTTAGCATATAGCACATCTTTTGGAGATGCTCTAATTAGTTTTGGAAAATCAAAAATATCGGTTTGTGTATGGAGAATAAAAAAATCATCGCACCGATTACCTGAACCGAACCGATTTATACAGAACGACGTCGTTTTGATATATAGTATTTACCATCTTCCCCTAGCTCACATCTATCCTTCAAACGCCTCAATGAGACACATTCTTATTAGTAAATTCCGGTTGTGAGATGTTTTTTATAAGTGATTTTGGGTTGTTATTTGTTAATTTTCTCAAACAAATGTAATAAAAGTTCAAATTCACTGTTAATCAAATATCGGTTTTATGCCGAATCGATTGATGAAACTGAAACCGAAAATAAATCGAATTGATACCAAAACCGATTAACACCGAACCGAAAAAGGCGATATATTTGGTTCTTAAAATATGAAAACCCGATATTATCGATACGTGTTTGGTTTATTGCAAAAATCGAGCCCCACCGACCCGTCCACACCCCTACTTTTAGCAACCCAAGATAGAATTTTATGATTTTAATTTTCTAATTTAATATAGGTGAAAAATGAAAAGATACCAATATTATTTTTATTTAATAACTAGATTAAATTAAAGCAGAAACTCACTACAATCCCTATATCGCCAAACCTTCAGCAACGAAGGCGGAGGAGGTGACAACGCCGGTTGCGGCGAAGAGTGAAGAGAGAGTGCGTCTCGTCGCCGGAAAACCAAACGACACATAATATTTGAACTTATTATTATTAGAAAAATGAAATTGTTATTGTTAGTAAAATTTGAACTTATTCAAATTAAAAAGGGTAAATTACAAACACCCCCCTGAGGTATGACCAAATTACAAAAACACCCCTCTTGTTTGGATAATTACAACCACCCCCCTCAACTCATCAAATTTTGTGGAATCTTCGAGATTATATGGAATATTATCACTTTTGTACCCGTTTTATCCCATTCAAACTCTACATTATGAAGCAAGATGGCCATAATATGTGATTTTTAGCTTGTATATATCAGTTTGTGGTGCATCGAAAACTGTATTTTTTACACAAAGAGTACAAACTAGAGCACATTTCACGGAATCTAGATGACTATGTTGAATTTAGCACAATAAAGGTAAGAAAAAATCATAGTTGAGGGGGGTAGATGTAATTATCCAAACAAGAGGGGGGGTTTTGTAATTTAACCATACCTCAGGGGGGTGTTTGTAATTTACCCAATTAAAAATGTAATTACTAAAATTATTCAGACATTTGCCGAACTCACCACATAATATTTCAGTTGGATTTAATCCATGGTAGATATATTAGGCCAAACGGGTGGATGGGTCCCACAAGTTTCCCTCTTTTATTTATTTTTTGGGTAAATTACAAAACTCCCCTTGAATTTAGGCTAAATTACGAAAAACATCCTATATATCAACATTAATACTAAAATCTCCATAATGTTTGTTTATGCTTTACAAAAACCCCTTTACGGTATCATTTTTTACAGAATCCTTTTCATTTTAGGGAATATTTCCCAAAATATGCTGATTCTATTTCTGTAGGCGTGACTTTTTTTATGTTACTTTTTCAAGACAAAAATTTATCCTCATAGATATTTTTGCAATTTTCTTAACTTTGGGGTCACTAAATATTAAATTTATAATGTCTTAATTACTTATTTTTATTCTAAAATAAGAATCAATATTCATTAGTGTATTTTTTTTTTTGAGTAAACATTAGTGTATTCAAGTTTATAAATATTTATGAAGTCTATTTGCTATAAAAATTATACGTCAGGGGAGGAAGTGAACCTACAAATCATATTGTTAATTTTGATTTTTTTTTCCATATTTTTAGCTACTTTATATTCATACATTTCAAAAAATATTTCGGGGGCACCGCCCCCAAACCCCCATAATCTTTTATTTCATCATTTTTAGAAAAAATGATTTATATTTTTTTAATACATTCAATTTCGAGCGCTCATTAATAAAAAAAAAATGGTTTATCAAATAGGGGCCCATGTTTTCAGTTGTTCTTTAAACCTCGCCTAGGGCCCCCGAATTCTCAGGAACGGGCCTGATCGAGGGTATTTTCAATGTTGATAATTATATATAGATTATCCTGCTAGAAATAGATCACTTTAAATAAATGAGGTAGGATGAGCTGGAAGAGCAGAGTGGATCACTGGCTTACAAGCTTGATGACCTTGAGATACATGCGATCATAGAACACGTAAACTAAGCCGGGGGTTGATCCGGCGGAAACCCCTCCGACGCTCAAGTCAGACGTGCGGATAGTGGAAATAGTCCAGATAATACAGTTGGTAGTCTTGCTCAGATAATAGGACGTACCTTTAATAAATGAATTAAAATGTTATTTATACCTTAGTTGAGATTGCTGGGTCCAAACCTTATTTGAAGGTGATTGAGCCTCGGTGATAGTGGTCTTCAATATTGAGCTCGTGGCCCAATAGGTAAATAAATTATAGGCCCATTGGGTGAGCCAACTAGGCATATCAATAGGTAAGGGTGTTTTCGTAATTTAGTTTAAGTTTAGGAGATTTTCGTAATTTACTCTTTATCTTTTCTTTATATTTTTCTCCAAATCAGATACTAATACGATAAAATCCAACTCAGAGAGAGAATAATTTAAAATATTTTTAAAAATCTTAATCCTTAAGCTGGTGAAATTAACGTAAACAGATATCTTTAATAGCAAACATGCACTTTACGCTAAGCTGAAATTACCTTCTCACCCTCGAAAATATCTGTTGACCAAGAGCTCAAAAGTCAAAAGTCCAAAAATCTAGATCCTACGCCAAGGGCAATTTAGTCAATTCGCAAGAAGAAAAAACAAACGGCTTTCATCTCTTCCGTGCCCCATTGGTTAGTACTAATTCCTGTTTATTTATAAGCATCCACTGTTTCCCCCATATCTCTCTCTCTAAAAATATATATGTATATATGTCTCTTTCTCTCTCTAAATATATCACGACAAAAAACTGAAGTAAAAATCCAGAGAGAGAGAGAAACCCAGATGGAATCAAGGCTCACGCAGTCGGAAATGGACGCAGTTCTGCAGCTGATTCAACTCAGCGGCAACTCGGGCGGCGACTCGGGCGGCGACCACGATTTCCATGTATTCTGGATGAATATTCCGGCAGCTGGCGGCGGTGGAGGAAAACGCGACATCAAATTAGAAGAAGAAGAAGAGAGAGAAGAAAGCGTGGGCGAAACATCATGGTCAAATCAAGAAAAGCTGTCGGAAGATGATGATGATGATGAAGCTTTGCCCCGAAGAAGAAGAAAAATTAGGTCAATTGTTGATATTTACAGAAAAACCCGTCCTTTCATCAAGAATAATCGTCTTTACAAAAGGCCCAAGATTTGATTTTTTTTTTCTTTTTTTTTTGGGCGATTAATTTTTCTGATCTTTTTCTCTAGTTTGTGTATATATATATATATATGATGGGTTTTCTTTTTTCCCCTTTAATTATGATTATAATAATTAATTGTATTATCTTTATGATAATTGCATAGAGAGCTATATGTATATATAATCTTGCTTATAAAAAGATTTGAGCTAATTGCAAGTCAGAATTTTCCAGAAACATATTCATTAACAGAAGTATACTATATACACATACATTTATAGGAGGGTAAATTACGAAAAAAACTCCAGTTTGGGTAATTGCAAACCCTCTAAAATATAAGGTTTTTTACACGTCGTTCTTATGGTTTTAAAATTAAAAAAATCTTCTAGTTTATATGAAATATTATATGATTTGTAGTCGTTTTGTGCATAAATGCAGTTTTTCCGATACAATCTGATATTTACAAGTCAATCGACACATCTTATGATCGTCGAGCTCGAAATGGGGTAAAACGGGTATAAATTGGAGATATTTTACATAATCTAGAAAATTTCAATAAATTTAACATCGTAATGACAGATGTGTAAAAAGATTCATAGTTGAGGTGGTTGATATTAGCCTAACATGAGAATGTTTTTTCGTAATTTGACATTATCTCAATGGTCGCCGTAATTTACCCTATATATAAATAGTTTATGTATTGTATATACACATGCAACACGCATGTGTGTTTGCTTGTAATATATATATGTATATATATTGTCTATTATACATACATAAAGATTTTTATTTTGTTTGTTTTATTTATGTTTCGCTACAAAAACGGGGAAAACGTGTAGTCTGAATTGTAACATGCTGGTTTGTGCAGTTGTCTTGGTAAAGTTCATACTAGCCACATTTCTCTTTCTTCATCATTGGCGAAAAATATCTACATCAATTTTCAGATTCTCTTTTCAACTATTAATTTATATCTATTTTTTTCATTTAAGTATCCATATGTTTAGGTTTTATTACAAGAGTAAATCAATAAAATTATTATATGTGGCTTTTACAGAAAAAAAAAAAAAACTCGAGAAGTAGTTGTTTGTTTCGAAAGTTAATTGATTAAAACCATATAAACGTAGTTTATACGTTTTAATCTTTCAGTATAACATGATCGTAATAGAATAAGTTAGCAACTGATTAACAAGAATTGTGGCATCTTCGGGATTACGGACGATAAAAGTCGATCTACACTTTCACCGGTGGTCCATTCACCAAGTTCTGAAGCATTTTTTTTCCTTTTCAAATTTCGAAGTAAATGGCAATGACGCAATAAAACACATTTTCGAACCTAATAAATTGTAAAATCAGTGCTCAAGCTGAAAAACATATTCAGTGAGGCGCTGTAATTTACTCGGATCCAATTTCTGTTCTGTCGCAACTTTATGCTTCCTCACAGTCATCGTTTGCGATTCAGAATCCACAGTCCAACCTCTTTGCACTGCATCTGTATATAAAGCAAAAAACACAATATTATGACAAGTCAGCAGCTGTAACTCTTGACTTTCTGTGAATTACGAACGTTAAAAATAAAAAATAAATAAATAAATAAATCCCGAAGTTATCGCTTAATAGAAATATATTAGATTATTTCAAAATTCGCAACGGAATATGTACAAGTACAGCAGGGACTTAATATGTACAAGTACAGGGACTTACAGTTTGCAGCGTCCTCCTCTGTCATACCAAGGAAAACAGCTGTATCTTGAATGCTTATTGTTGAATAAGCCGAAACCAGCAATTCGAACATCCTTTTAGTGTAAAGTTCTGCAGTAAATTCGAATAATAGTAACTACAATAAAAACTACTAATTCCAAAAAGTCATCGTATTTAATACAACCGCAAAACTGAAATATAACAGGTCAAAGTGTCCTATAGAACCACCCAAAATGTAGTCATGAACTAGATCCGATGCTAGGTACGAGGTTTCGATTCTTGATCTCTAAATATAAGTCTGGTAAATTGGTAAGGACAAGTAGTAGCTTATATAAAGGGATCTTCATGATTAAAACTTTAACATTTTATGCTCCCGTGATAAATCACAACCCCTATTAAGATATGTTAAGAGGCTTTTCTTTGCTGTGCAACCGGCATTTCAAAGTTAGAGTTTTTCTGCAGGGTATTCAAGAAAACGCAATGAAAGGATAAATGTGTTGAGTAATCATACTTGTGCTACGTTTTAAATTTCCCAAGTAGTTTTAGCAGGTGTAAATTGTGTATATATTCACATTTGGGCACGAGAAACAGGAAATCCATGTAGATCCAGAAACGGCAAGAAAGAGAATTGTGAGATATAAAAACAGGAATTATTGCCAAGTGTTTCTCTGGTTCATATTCGTTTCAATATTCTTCACATGACTAAGGTTGAACTTAATTGCTAATTGTTTCGAGTCATTCAAATTTTTGGGCTTAATTACTCCCACCTTTTTCACGTAATTCCTTTGGATGTCAAAATCATGTTATCGTCGTTTATTCTGAATAAAAGAAACACCAACAAACTTTCATGAATCTCAAACTAATCCAAATAAGCTTCTTATCTATCTTCCATCCGTCTATAAAGTATATATTCGCTATGTGTACATATGTTGGACTCAGATGATTAAAGAAATAACAAACTCCTTCGTAAAATCGCATAGATGACCATTAGTGCTGTGGATAAATATTAGAAACTAAACCACAATTATTCGTATTATACACTGCAGTTCGATATCAAATTGTGTCTTTATCTAAGAAACAAAACTGCATAATTTGATATAATTTTCGAGGTCGTGGCATAGCAAAATCACAGAGGCAAAACACCTCATCAGACAATCGAGCCAATAGCTCTACAACAACAATAAGCAATGATATGCACACGTATTAAAAAATCAAACTAATCAACACGAATGCCTGAAAAATACTAACCGGAAAAAGCTGCAACGATGCCCTGAGTCTGTGCGCTCCAGCTGAACTCTCGAATGGCTTCATGAACGCCGCCGTAATCTTTCATCCACACCCTCTGCCCAATTTCCCAGACAGCCTGTAATTCCGGCTGGCCCTCTTTCACCGCCACTGGTATCTTCTTCCACAAAAACCTCGCACTATTACTGTAATAATAATTATATAAAAAAAAATCGAAAAAATCAGTCAATATCATCATCCAGCAAAAAACACAAACCCTAAAGCACAAATACACTGAAAATATGTATAAAATTACATGTCATTGATATATATGTGGCCCAGGAGATGAACGGCGTACGGCCACTCGTCTTGAAAAGCGACGCCCTCCGATGCAACCTGTGGTCGAATGTAGATGCAAAAAAGGAGCGGAGATAATAAAATTAAATAAAAAATAAAAAAAATTAAAAAGAAATTAGGGTTTGCAAGGGGGTAATTGGGGAAAACGGAGATGTAGAACAGGGGGAAAAAGGGAAGTGATTACCTGAAGCATGAGATTGTCGCATATGTCGGCGATCTTATCGTATGATTTGAAGGCCAGAGCTTCGTTCAGAGCGGAGGTATCCATCAATGGCGGAAGGTGGAGTTTTCTTCTTCTTCTTCTGTAGGGAATTTTTTGTCTGTAGTGGGAGTGGTGGTGTAAGCCGGGTCGTGGTGAATACGGGTAGTGCTGGAAATATGGGCTGATGGGCCATATTTATACCCAACCCACAAATCCACAATAAATAAATAAAGGGTAAATTACAACCAACCCCTTGAGGTATGGTCAATTTACGAAAAACCTCTCTTGTTTGGATAATTACATCGACTCCTTCAACTATGATTTTTTTCTTACACCTCCACTCTTATGGTGTCAAATTCGACATACTCATCTGGATTTCGTGGATTGTGCTCTAGTTTGTACTTGTTTTGTGTAAAAATACAGTTTCTGATGCATCACAATTTGATATATACAAGCCAAAAAACACATATTATGATCATCTTGCTTCAATATGTGGAGTTCGAATGGGATAAAACGGGTGCAAAAGTGATAATATTACATATAATCTAGAAGATTCCACTAAATTTTATAGTTGAGGGGTAGTTGTAATTACCCAAACATGAGGGGGATTTTTGTAATTTGACCATACCTCAGGGAGGTGGTTGTAATTTACCCATAAATAAATAAATTATATTGTTCTCCAAATTAAAAAAAATAAAAATTAAATAAAAATCCATTGAGTAGAGTTTAACCTTTTTTAGAAGAAATTAGCTCTTCAAACATTAAATTGTAATAAAATGTTAATTTGACAGTTTACGTACTTAGAACTAGAAAAGATTACTTGTTCTCGTTTGTTCGATTTCCCATCTCATAAAAGTCCATTTTATTACTTGTTAACGTGCGCTTGCATATGTGAAAAATTTCCAACAGCACCGAACATCTTATTATATATTCTAATCTTATTCTAATTAATTCAATCCATTGCATGCCATCAGATTGAGTATAACAAATCAATAATTGTGATCCGGTCTAATTTTGACCTGTCGAAGAAGCCCAAGCCCAGTTAAGTGCAGCCCAGATGATCAGGCCCGATTAAGGCTCAAAGACACAATCAGGGAGGCCCAATACCACAACTATCAAATAGACCGCCGAGGTACAAAACCCACGAGATGTGCTTGCGGGATAGTCTTGCGAGATATTTCCACGACTAATAGAGTAGGCATTACGTCGGCATCTCGAAAGTAAAAGTAGGGGACCAATTAATGGGACGTGAAGGATGGGTGGCAGGCTTGAACTGATGGAGGAGCAGTAAAAAGACCCAATAAGAACTTGCCACGTGGTCGAATAGACAGGAGGATGGCTTTTTTGTCTTGGGAATATAAACAAAGCCCAAAAAGGCCCCTATGGTAGTACTATATATACTAGATCATGTAAGAAGAAAGAGGGGGTTCGAACATCCAATAAAATTGGGCCATGCTTATTTGTTGTTCTATATACATTCTCAGTTATTTAATCCACATATCTTGTTTAATAAAATCTCTTGTGCTCACACAAGGTATGAACATTTGAACCTATAACAAAATCTAGTAATCTACAGAATAAAATAAAGGGTAATCTTATGTTATTGCATGTGACCAAATTTGGCACATCAAATTGTATCATTACATAAAATTAGATTTATATTATGTTACATCAGCTGAAATACACCGATCAGATTTTACCATTATTCATATTCACACATCTACGTTGGTGTCTGTAGAAAAACGATAAAAAAAAAATAAAAAAAAATCCACCTTTTGTAACCTTCGGGTGTAGCATAGAAAAAATCAGGTGTAGCATAGAAAAAATCAGTTAGATTATATTAATGATTATCATTATCATAACATTATCATATGTAATTATCAATTAACTTCCAATAACAACTTTAAACTAAATATAAAAACAAGAAGTGGAAGTATATGGAAAGAACACAGAATCAAATTTAATCCCAAAAAATAAAATAAAATAAAATAGAAACTCGTTAAAACTCGAAAACTGCTCCTCAATATACGCTATTCAAGATCAACTAAACTTTTGTTTCCGTTTTCTGGAGTAACTGGTTTCGTCAGTGGGAAAATTATATTCACTTTGTAAAATTCGACATTATATTCTTCTCTCTCTAGTTTTCTTTCTTCATCATTTCATGAGAGAGAAAGCGAATGAAAAAATCGAGCGGCGGAAGTGGAATAGATTACATTACCGAGTGATCGGTCTCTCTCTCTCTCTCAAACGGTGAGGCCGTCGAATCCACATTGCTTGTTTATTACGGTTTGCTTTCTCGGGCTAATGGCGATCGTACAATCCACCGATACCTATTCATACATGCATTCATATACATTATGCGTGAGCCGCAACAATAATTGTAATAAATTAAAACCAAGTAATTATCTCAAGAAAACAAGATCTACAATGCAACAGTCAAATAAGCTAAAGGCCCTTTCGATCGGTTTATTAAAGTAAAGATGCGATAAACAAGATTACGATTACATATATATTTATTTTCCGCATTATTGAAATGGTTCCGTAATACATGATAAAATTCTCCAATCCTAAGCATAATTCGGGGTTGTCGCCCCCAAATTAAATACTTCTGAAGGTGCAAATTTAGACCGGATGACTTGTTTTAATAGGAAAATCGGATGCCATAGGATGATTGACACGTGCATAGTTTAAATAAAAATATAATTAGGATTCTAATAATTCGAAGAAAAAAAAAGAAAAAAAAAACCAGAATAACCCGTAACCCCTCTAACCCTAATTATAATCCGCGTAATTTATTAATAGTTAAGACTTAATTAAAATTGCCACATGTCAAAAAATTAGTGGAATCCGATATATATTAAATATCGGCGCAGAATTTAAAATCAACAAAAATTCACGTAAAAATGAAACATAAACAATTAGGTGACCAATTTAGCAATTAAGGGTATCTGAGTATCAAAGAGACTTTAGTTATTAATGAGTTCAAGCCAGCTCATATTAGCAAAGACGATGCATGCGCATGGTAGCAGACCCCACAGCTCGACAAAAATACGGAAACAAACAAAAATGCACAGAAAACAGTGACCTTTTTTAATTTGTCCCCACGAAAATAAAGAAGAAAATTATTCGAGTTTAAAAATAGTAAATCAATAAATAAAAATAGAATAAAATAAATAAATAATGCTAACCTGCACCCCAGGCGAAGTGACACCAAGGATCCGGATCTTAGCTCCGACGTCACCCACAACCCGAAGCTCGACCCGGTCGTAGAGCGAAGCGTCCCTGACCAAATCGGCGGCGTTGGCTTCCAGCAAGCTGACCCGATCGACGGCGATGGCGGTCTCGACGCGGCGGACGCTGTGGGCGGGCTGATCGAACCCGGGCACGGAGCCCCACCCGAGCGGCACGCCGCGGTACATGACGGTGAACCTGGACTCGCGGTACTTGATTCCGACCTTGTTGTCGTTCGCCGCGGTGAACAGAAGACGGATGTTGAGGGAGACCGTCGCCGCGGCGGCGGCGGCGGTTGGACTGCTGGGATTGATGCCCATGAGCTGGACGGTGACTTGCTGGAGGTCGAATTCGGGCTTTTTAGGCTTCACGGCGAGGAGGACGACGAGTACGACGGCGAGGGTTAGGAGGGCGAGGAAGGAGAAGAGGAGGAATAGGCAGCAGCAGCAGCCGCGGAAGGAGGCGGAGGAGGATGACGACGACGGCGGAGGGTAGTAGTGGTACTGGCGGGCGCCGCCGTTGGTGGTGGTGGATGTCATTATTGAATTGGGTGAGGGTTTTGTTTGGTGGTGGAGAATTGGGGGAAGAGGGGAAAAAGGAGGGTTAAGCCCCCCACCACCACAGCTAACGGACTGTGGCCACCCTCTATTTGTTTCTCTCTCTAGAATTTTTAATTTGATTATTTTATTATTTTATTAATATTAAAAAATGAGAGTTTTGTACGTTGCTTATACTGAGAAGAGAGAGAAAGTATCAACAGTGGCCTTGCTTGCTTGCTTGGCGGTCACAAAAAGCAGCAGCATGTGACAGTACTGCAATTATATGTATATACTACGTAATTATTAATTATTAATTTATTATGTTTATATATATATTGGAGATAACTTGGTTGAGGAGTGTAAATAAAGGTTTATTCCATTATCAATTATCATAGTTGAATATTACTAAGGTAAAATTGAAATAAAATATTTTTTTATTATTATGTTGACGAAGCCAAGTTAAACGAACTTTTATTGGTCGATAATCGATGTCGAATCGAGAGTCGAATAATCTAGTTCTGTATTCATCATATCTAGGGGTGTGAACGAGGCGAGTTCGACTGTTGTTGGCAGGCTCGAGCTCGGATTCATTTTATCGACCACGTCGAGTTTCTAGCTTGAGCTCGGACCAAGTTCAATATGGGTATTTAAAAAAAAAATTATTAAAATATTTAGATTACCATAAAAATTTTAAAAAATGAAAAATAAATGTATTATATATATATTTTTAATATTTATATATATTTTTATATTATTTCTATAATATTTTATATTATTATACATTATTTAAATGAAAAAATAAAAAAAATAAGGCTCCCGAACAACTAAAAAAAAAACTCGAGCTCGACTCGTCAAAGAGCTGGAAAAACTCGAGTTCGAGTTAGAACTTTTTTCGAGCCAGCTCATATATCGAGCTTTAGAGTCGATCAGCTCGTTTAGCACCCCTAACTGTATCTGGAATTAAAAGGAAAATAAAATCATTAGGTGATCAAAACTAGGGCCGAGCCCAATTGATCTTTATGACTGGGCTGAAATGTAAAAATAGTTATATAATCTAATTTGATCTTTTTGAGCCCAATTAAAATACATCTTTGGGGCCCAAGTTTAAAATATACAAAAAGAAAAAGAAAAGAATTTGCCCTCAAGATAGAGACGGCCACGGGCCGGTTTTGGGCCCCGAACCGGCCCGTTGACGGCCCAAATCGGCCCGTTGACCAAGTGAACCGGCCCGGACCCGTGAACCGGCCCGTCCTCCCCGGGACGGGCCCGGTTCTTAGAAATGGTGAACCGTGAACCGCCGGGCCGGCCCGGCGGTTCACCCGGATTTAAAAAAAAAAAAAAAAAAAAAAAAAAAACCAAATAACGGCTAGTGAACCGGCCCGAACCGGTCCGGGTGAACCGGCTGTTATTTACTTTTTTTTGGATCCCCCCATTTTTCCTATAAATTCAAAATCTTTAAAATTTTGAATTTAAAATTGAGTTCAAGTCTTTTCATTTATTTCTTTTTTCTTTTTCTATTTAAAAGTACTTCTTTTAATTTACTTATTCATAAAATATTTAAAAAAAAAAAAATCAAAATTTCCGGGCCGACCCGGATAGGCCCGGAACCGGCCCGAACCAGCGGGCCGACCCGGCCCGCTGAACCGCCCATACTACGGGCCGGTTCCGGTTCCGGAAAATGTGAATCGTGAACCGGTTTGAACCGGCCCGGAACCGGCCCGAACCGGCCCGGAACCGGCCCGAACCGGCCCGGAACCGGCCCGAACCGGCCCGTGGCCGTGTCTACCTCAAGACCCCAACAAAAGAAATTTAAAAAACAAATAGAATGAGAAATATATTTTAATCACTTTATTCACTTTTTTCACTATAACTAATTCATGTTTGTTGGTATTCTTAATACGTCCAAATAAAGATAATTTAATAACATCGCTTAAATAATAATTTTTTCAGGTCCGACTCGATGCAAATATATTAAATTATTGAATCAGTAATTTAATATTTTGCTAAGCTCGACTTTATTAATTTATAGAGGTTTAACTGTATTTGGTAAGCTCGATTAATTAGTCAATGATCAACCGATAATTATTACTCAAAATCCAGTCCACTTGGTCGTATTAACACGTCGTTGGACCGTCGTTTGTTGCTAATTACTACTCCCTCTGTCCCATATTATATGTCTTTTTAGAGAGTTTTTTTTGTCCCAAATTATTTGTCATTTTAGATTTTCAATGAAGCATTAATTGCATTATTTTCAATTTTACCCTTAATCACTCCTAATTTATTAGTTGAGAATCAATTAATGTCAAGGATATTTTTGTAATTTTATATGTTCTTTTACTATAATCTATGCACATTTATTGATTTTCTTAATATGTGCAAAATAAGCCAAAACGACATTTAAATTGGGACGGAGGGAGTATCTAAGTTCGCTGCTTATTAATGAAAGGACCCAATCCACATTCAAATCAACACTTAATTATTCATTAATTAGTCGCCTTTAATTTGGACCCCAAAAAGTTTGATGCATAGCCCTTACATAATTAAATTAGTTACTTAGTTCAACATCTATATATTAAGCAATTAATGTATCTATAACATAGGAGTTTACTAGTTTATTACACTGCGTAAATCTTTATTATTCATATACACATAAACACACACATCCACATTGGTATGTGTCGATCAATAGTAAAAATTCACCTAATATAATCTTCACCAGGTGTAGCATAAAAATAACCGTATTTTACTAACTCATGATCCAAAAACAAACACACTTCATCAAAATAAATAATTAAAAATATGATATTTTATATATATAGATCTACATTTTCTTGGAAAACTAACTAGAAGAAATCAAATAAAATCAAAACAAACATTTTTTGCATAAATGTTCAAGTTCTTGAATTTAACAACAGTCAAGGCATCACATGCCAAACTATTTAATAATTAATTAATTAAAAGCTTTCACTAATATATAATGTCACATAGTCCACTCTCTTCAGAAACAAAATTAATTACTGGTCACCACAATATTATATAACTTCAATATATAATCTATTACAAATCCAAAAAAAAAAAATTTTAAAAAAAAAACTTTCGATTAAATTAAATATCCGATTATGAATTATTCGGTAGGCGAATGGCGAATCGGGTAACTACTCGATTCAAGAACCCTAATTGTGCCACTTCCACTAGTACTCTCCCCATCTTGATGTGAATAAGGGCTTGTTTGGCTGTCTTTATTAATGAGTGAAGAAATAGCTGCAGCAACCGCAACCCTAAATTTCGGATCAGAAGCAATTGCACTTACATTTTCAGCCAACAATGATGAGTTATTACCACCATTTTCTTGATGCCCTAAATCTTCCACTAGTCTATTAGGGTTAGGAAAAAGTTGCCCGATAATCGAATTTCCACCGAAATTCGGTTGCTTAGGCAGCCAATTGGAATACGCCACGTGGGCCATGGGGTTCGAGGAGCTACCGCCATTTTTTGTGGGATCATGGTAATTATTATTAGGGTTTAGGGATGATCTTAGGTTTGGTGAGAAAAGAGGGGTATTATTGTTATTATTATTAATAATGTTGTGATAAGGGAAGAAATTATTTGTTTGGTTTAAGGTTGATGGTGGGAGTAAATAATTTCCGTCGGTGTTCGAGAAATTGGGATTGATGTAATTGGTTGAGTCGAACATCGTACAAGAGGATAGAGAGCTCGATGTTGTTGTTGATGCCATTGCGGTTGCGCCTACTGGTAATGGATGGTTGTGTGTTCCTTCGTACGTTGTGATCAGTATCGACATGTCTTCTAAACATCTTTGTACCTATATTAATATTTATTTATTTATGTATATATATATGTCATGTGTGTATAGTTTGTTATTCACATTAGTTTGCCAATCAAGAAAAATTGAAGTACATAATACTTTTCACAAATTTGGAATAGTTATTTATCATATATCTATCTTGTCACATATAAACTTCTAAACATCTTTTGTACATACATATATATATATAAATGGAATTATATATATATATATATATATATATATATATATATATATATATATGCTTCATGCTTAATATTTCAAACCACTTGTGAACTCTAGCGT